ATATATAGACACTGCAGCTCATTTATTAGACTCTACATCAAAAAATGGAGAACACAGCATCCAGGGCATGTAGTTACAACAAAAGTTTATTGTATATAGTAAAAAACACGCAAAACAAAAGAAATCACACCTAAGTATGGTGAATTTACCAAAAACCATGTTACAATAAAAAAAGAAGAAGAAGAAAAACACATCAGAAAGATTATTCTGCTGCAGGATCATGTCTCTGAGCTGGGCCCGGCCAGAGGGCTTCATCTACGTCACAGACAATGGGCAAAAAACCCTTTGGTGTGGTGGATCCAGCCTTGACAAGACTGCACGTCTATCTCACCACAGGCCAGTTCCATTGCCTGTAAGAGATGTTCCTGGTACAGTATTGTTCAAAATAATAGCAGTACAATGTGACTAACCAGAATAATCCAGGTTTTTAGTATATTTTTTTATTGCTACATGGCAAACAAGTTACCAGTAGGTGCTGTAGATTCTCAGAAAGCAAACAAGACCCAGCATTCATGATATGCACGCTCTTAAGGCTGTGCAATTGGGCAATTAGTTGAAAGGGGTGTGTTCAAAAAAATAGCTGTGTGGCATTCAATCAGTGAGGTCATCAATTTTGTGAAATAACAGGTGTGAATCAGGTGGCCCCTATTTAAGGATGAAGCCAGCACTTGTTGAACATGCATTTGAAAGCCTGAGGAAAATGGGTCGTTCAAGACATTGTTCAGAAGAACAGCGTACTTTGATTAAAAAGTTGATTGGAGAGGGGAAAACCTATAAAGAGGTGCAAAAAATTATAGGCTGTTCAGCTAAAATGATCTCCAATGCCTTAAAATGGAGAGCAAAACCAGAGAGACGTGGAAGAAAACGGAAAACAACCATCAAAAGGGATCGAAGAATAACCAGAATGGCAAAGGCCCAGCCAATGATCAGCTCCAGGATGATCAAAGACAGTCTGGAGTTACCTGTAAGTACTGTGACAGTTAGAAGACGTCTGTGTGAAGCTAATCTATTTTCAAGAATCCCCCGCAAAGTCCCTCTGTTAAAAAAAAAGGCACGTGCAGAAGAGGTTACAATTTGCCAAAGAACACATCAACTGGCCTAAAGAGAAATGGAGGAACATTTTGTGGACTGATGAGAGTAAAATTGTTCTTTTTGGGTCCAAGGGCCACAGACAGTTTGTGAGACGACCCCCAAACTCTGAATTCAAGCCACAGTACACAGTGAAGACAGTGAAGCATGGTGGTGCAAGCATCATGATATGGGCAAGTTTCTCCTACTATGGTGTTGGGCCTATTTATCGCATACCAGGGATCATGGATCAGTTTGCATATGTCAAAATACTTGAAGAGGTCATGTTGCCTTATGCTGAAGAGGACATGCCCTTGAAATGGTTGTTTCAACAAGACAATGACCCCAAACACACTAGTAAACGAGCAAAGTCTTGGTTCCAAACCAACAAAATTAATGTTATGGAGTGGCCAGCCCAATCCCCGGACCTTAATCCAATCGAGAACTTGTGGGGTGATATCAAAAATGCTGTTTCTGAAGCAAAACCAAGAAATGTAAATGAATTGTGGAATGTTGTTAAAGAATCATGGAGTGGAATAACAGCTGAAAGGTGCCACAAGTTGGTTGACTCCATGCCACACAGATGTGAAGCAGTTATAAAAAACTGTGGTCATACAACTAAATATTAGTTTAGTGATTCACAGGATTGCTAAATCCTAGAAACAAAAACGTTTGTACAACATAGTTTTGTGTTTGTACAGTCAACGGCAGACACTGCTATTTTTTTGAACACACCCCTTTCAACTAATTGCCCAATTGCACAGCCTTAAGAGCGTGCATATCTCCTTTTTGTCCAACACCTCATATTCCTCTACCTCTCATATTGTTATCCATAGTTGATGGATATACCCGTGCCACCTGTGCACTTTGAACTGGCTTATATTTTGTACCTTTTCATCACATAATTAGAAACAAGTGTGAACAATTTTGAATCGTGTGTAAACGATGACAATTGTGCTTTAGTTGTGTTTATGTTCTGCTGTCCTCTGTTTAGTGGTTTGCAGCACAAGTTCATCACAGTGCAAATTGTGTTTTAGTGAGTGAGAATGTGTTTAGTTTAGCAAAAAGAGTGCATGAGATTTGCAAACAGTGTCTAACTGCCTAAACTGGCTTAAGGTTTTGCAGAAAGAATGATTTATTCCACATATTGGTTTAGGCTATTGAGAATTTGGTTCAGAGAATGCGGTTTATTGTTTTAGCAATTGTGAAAAACTGTAAGAGGCATTTGTAGTCTCTAAGGCCAAGCTAAAATACCCTGATCACATCACCAGTCTCTCCCAGACTTGACAAACCTCCTCCCATGTTTTCAGTTTTCACTAGTAAACTGATCTTTAGGAGTAGGAGAATCATAGCCCAGCTCTGTAAAAACCTCATTTCTTGAACCATGTGTAACACACTCTCTTAGTAAAACAACTTAAGTCATTGCTGTGCTGTCCCAAACTTTTATTGCAGCTCCCAGAACAAATCATTTACAGAAATCTGTGACACTTCAAATCTCCTTTATACAAAACATCATTACTTCACAATAATTTAATTGGCATCTGCAGCAGACTGGAGGTTATGATAGACAACAGTGTGAGAAACACAGCTGCCCACATATCACAACCCATTACAGCATGTACATGATTTCTGATCCAAGTTTAGTAATAAAAACATGAAAGTCTGTTCTTCTGCTTTGCCACAGTATGGTTTGAAATGTTCTGCTCTTCCTTTGACGTGCTTAAAAAAAATAAAAGTTTGTCCCGAGGCAGCGCAGCCACCGAAATACACCGGTCACAAACAGCTTATGGCTTTCACAAAATCAGTGGTTTCCTTGACTTTTCCAATGTTCCTTTTAAAAGTCCATAAGCTCTCTCTTGCTACAGACTGCAATATTCAATGTTAAAAAGCTTTCACAGTTCACATTAGGAAGCAGAAAAGACCAGCTAGTGTTACAAAGGGGGAATGTTCAGACATCCTATAAAAACAGCTCGTGCACACCACTGCAATGTGTTGCTTCCCTACAAACAATCTGGTCCTTACAGTATGTGATGGCTAGAGATACAAAGTAGAACTGTGACATCAAATGACAGAATGTTTTATAAACGAGGACTGATTTTCTGATGATCTTCTCCTCCCACTGTAGTGCTGCAGTTTATTCCTACATCATCACATCTACATATTTATTGACAGTATCCAAACACAAATGTTACCCAGGGTGCTGCACCTATGGTCATGGTTAGGTCTCTTCTGATACATGATGGCATACACATCCAGTAGGGATACAAAAGGATCTGATCAGCACCTCCAAAATAAAACACATTAAAGTCCCCATCTGAGTTCAGCTATGATAGAATGATGTGCAAGACAATCTGTGCTCTCATCTTTGGGCCTGCAGGAGTCCTGCTACCACGGATCAGTGATTAGCAACACACCAAGACAATTTCTGAGGTCACAAAGGAGAGGGAACCGTGAGTAATCGACATGTCACTAAGAGTCCCTTTTAGAAAGTACATCAAACATACAACTACACATTGCTGAGCGGCTGAAGCGAGGCAGTGAAGTTTTGCCACTGATTTAAAAAAAAAAAAAAAAAAAGATCTTGGTTCATTTTGCTGGCATCAGTCTGCCAGCTGTGGCTGCAGCTGGACGCCCAACCCATTTCATCCTCAACAGATATTTTACACTGAACTTACCATTAAACTAAATGGGATCTGGGCCACACATACCTCTGTTTAACTATCTTACATGGTCTACCTGGTGTGTTTGAAAGCATCATCACTACACCACACTGTGACAGATCTGCACTGTTCAGTGTCCTGATTTACATCACAGTTCAAGCTCAGAGCTGATGTTTAAAGTTACAGCTTCACTTAAGACTTATTTGATAGTCGTGTTAGATGGTCGTGGTGATCACATCTGGAAATATGCCAAACATAAGAGATACTAGAGATACACAGACCACACACAGTTATGTTTATGAGAACATTCAGTGACATAATGCAGTCCCGAGCCCCCGACCCTAATGTTAGCCATCACAACTACATGCCTACCCTAAACCCTAAAACCAAGCCTGAACCCTCAAACAGCTATCTGCTGAAAATTAAATCTGAACGGTGAAAATCACTCCCACCGTGTAAAACTCAAACCAGTCATCACAACGTATAGCCATACATGCACGCACACACACAGCCACATGTAGTAGAGAACAGACGGGGGAGGAGTTAAACTGTCTCCAAACCTACACATTGACATCAACAGCTCACAGAAAAAAAAATCATTAGGAAACATGCTTTGACACACAACAAGAAGCTTACATTCGTTCAGAATTCATGTACTAACATACGGCTCATCCTGGTGTCGACGCACACTGAGTGGTAAATAAACTGGCTAGGTGAGGAGGGTGGGAGCCAGAATAAAAGCTTTGCATAGAATCTAGACCATGACCAAAAGGAAGCCGCTGAAAGCAGCTGGTTTTCTACATTCTGAATTTACACTATATAGCAGGCAGGAAAATGATGCTTTGGTTTAGAAAATCTGAAATATTGTTGAGGCCTCCTTTTAAATGATTTTATCAGCAGGAGGAGGGTTGGGAGACGGCAGCCAACATTGAGAGCAACAGCCTTGTCATCTGAGAAGCTTCTAAACCTGCAAAGTCAAAGACCGACTGCACTGTGTAGGCCGGAGATTGTTTAGAAACTGCCAAAACACTGATATCTCAGGCATGAACTTTGGCCTCATTTTGCTCAGCAAAAGAATTTAGGTCCAGGAAGCCAAACTACAGCACAGCCAGGCTTAAAAAATAGTTTCAGACTGGTTTACTGTTGCAGCACTTGCAGATGCAAGACTCTGACAGGCCTCCTGTACAATTACAACACAGACTGCACGTAGACACATGGTCTGAATATCTGAGCACAGACACAAAGAACTAAACCACCATGAACAAAAATGGAAATGGGTCCTCTACTAAAAAAAAAAAAAAAGAAACATTTTTTAAAAAGTAAGAACAGGAGTACCACATTAGTAAACAATTCATCCATCATCTCATACAGACAGTAAAAGAAACATTTAAAGGAAGGTATTAAAACTGAGGGCGAGGGAGAAAGATGTGGGAGACAGGTGAGTGTTGTCATAGCAACTCAGTTGCTTCTCTAGAGGTGGAGAGGTGCATCACTGTTCTGAGCATGCTCAGATGGTGCTGATGCAACATCAGTGGGTCCCTGCTCCTTCACCACGACAGCTGCAGCAGCCTCTACGTTTCTATGGGAAAGACAAACAGGATGGTGTTAATTTGAACCTGTGCAGGTGTTAGTTTCACTGAGAGTCCGTGAGCTCGCACCTCAACAGCAGCCAAAGCTCCACACTGACATGCTTTACACAGGACTCCTGCAAACAACTGTTCTGGCTTCATGCCAATATTTGTGTGTTATGCAATATTTCATCATTTTCCATTGCCAAGCCATATTAAGCACAGGAACAAATCCCCAAGCTTGTACAGATTTCTATATCATTTTAATGTCATGTGTGTCCACACTAAAGCCAAATTTATCTTTGCAGATACCTTGAACAAAGGATTATTTACAATTCAGGGCTGACAGTTACTAATCCTTTCTTTCTCTGTAGAGACAGTGGAAATGTTCCAAGCTTATCAACAACCGTTCTCTGTAACCACCACAGCTGACCATGTACAGTATCAGCCAAAAGTGTGGATACCAGGGCATATATTTCACACCTGACCTACAGCCAGCTGAGATGGTCTGGAATGAGCTGGAATACAGAGTCAAAGAAGCAAAAAGTATATGTGGGAACACCTTAATAGCTGGTGGTGACCTTATGAAACTGGTTTCAGTATTATTATGTACATCCTGTTTCATTTGCCTTTGTTCAACATTCTACGAAGACACCGAACAGCATCTTTGTCACCAGCTCACTGCCATTATGTCAGGGCTGCTGGAGTATGGCTTTACTAAGCCTAATCACTTCTAACACGATTACGACAGAAGAACCAGAAATACAGAAGACAGACTATGAAAAACAAAATGGTAACTAAAATGTGAAGCAGGAGTTTAAGTGGCTATAATATAACATCTAACTGTGGTGTACACAGGGACAGGAACACATGGGGGGGGTGAAAAAGATGGACAGAGACAGAGGACATGAACCATATGTTTTCAAAGAACTCGTTTTCAATTTAAATAGTTTGACCCCTGTATTCTGATAAAGGCCATAGTTGGAATTATGTATTATGGGCTTTCAACTGCTTTTTCTAACATTTCTTTTGCAGACAAACTGACTCAGGCACAATGCTGGGGGGGAGGGAGTTAAAGAAAGCAGGACTGATGCAGGGGCATGGGGGCTGCGAAAGAGAGACTGAACTAAGAGACAGAATATACTGTTTACAAATGAACTTGAGTTTATCACCATTAAAGAGCCCATGGTGCTTTTCCCTGTTTTCTGATTTATCTACAATGTTACAACGGTGAATTATCATCTTAGACGTGACCTAAAGCTCAAAAAATGAGGTGCACGTATGTTCTAGTACTTCTATGCAGAAGCAACTGGGTTTATACACGCCTCGCAAACTCTCACTCGCGAGAATTTTTTTCAAACAAAATTAAGTCTTACATGATAGTTTAAGGATTTCCTTGAATGGGCATAACCTCCAGGCCATTGCACATTCATGTGAGTTTGCCTGACATCCATTAAAAAAAAAAAAAAAAAAAAAACACATCCACTGGCCCCCCTGAA